GAGCTGTGAGTGCAGCTTTGAAACCATATCATATTTTAAGATCTGGGCGGTGTTCTAATGTAGTATGGAGCTGACATTCGCACGAGTCTTGGCCCTCAAACAGACCTGATTGGCACTCAGATTTGCATAAAAAGCATTCATTTTCTTCTTTTAAAAATTAGAAAAAAAGCCTCATATTTTTCTAGTTTCACCTCTGATGCTCAGCTTCTCACAGGCGAACAAAATACTTAAATTTGCTTTCATGTGAAGTATACGCAGGCGCCTTCCGCGTCTGGCTTTTAACTACTGCATTTCTTTCTTTTCTCTGTCAAATGGATATCTCAGCAGGAACGATTTGCCTGTCAATCACAACTTTACCTCTCGGTGTTCCCTACACGCACAGACTACTCTGCCACTGTGAGGATGCACTGTGTGTGCAAATGAGCATGCTGCATTCCTACTTGTGCATATGTGTGTGCGACAGACGTTTTATGTTATAAGTACTAATCTGCCACTTCTATAAGATTACTGCTGGAGCTGACTTCAAGCGGCGCATGTCAACATCCTGGCTGACAGTACCTGCTGAGTTCCTGTTTCCTTGACGCCTATTCTGACTGCACTTCCCTCTATGTTACCAAATTACTTTAATCAACCCTAGCTCGACACATTAATATAATTTAAACTCTCTCTGACTCCCTTTTCCACTGCTGGTGAGTGAACATTTAGTATAGAGCTCACCAGGTCTCACTGGGGCTTTCTTCAATAATGACATAATGCCTTTGTCTAATTATCGCTTATCTGCTCTTAAACAGCAGATAAAAGCTAAACAATCCACAAATGATACTGTAAATACAATAATCCAGCTATTCTGTTAATATGTGTTTACATGAGCAATATGATTTTAAAAACCAGAGAACCGGCTTTGGCATATCATATTAGTGTCAGCATTAACTGTTGAGGGAAGGAACATCAGAATTTTCTGTAATAATATTTAGGCAACTTAACACAAGATGTTCTTTTTTTATCTTGAGCGCTTAGACACTGAAATAGCTCCAGCACTACAATGTAATGCAAAGTATAACCAGATTTTTACAGAGCGAGCGCGAAAACTGGGACACTCTCTGTTAAGTGTTCTCCCTGGAAAAGAAAAATGAAACATTTTCTGTGAAGTATGAAGAGGCGTATTTTTCTCACCTATGACAAAGTCTAATTTCCTTTGCTCCCTAGTCACGCACTTGTCAGAATCACTTTCCTGCGACAATTCTCCCTCATGTCCTTCCAAAAAGCACATTTAACAATCACCTGTTAGTCAGGCACACAGGGCAGCATATGGCCTTTTATGAATATTACATTACATTGCATTTAGCTGACGCTTTTATCCAAAGCGACTTACAATAAGTGTGTTCCCAACAAAATACAAACTTGAAGAAAACAGAATCATAAGTACATCAGGTTTCATAGAGCTAAAACATTTCAAGTGCCACTCAACTGGCTTTAGATAAGCCAGTCCTTTATTAGTATATAAGTGCTTTGTTAGCAATTCTTTGTTAG